CATAATGGAATAAGATACTCATAAATATCTTGAAAGATAGCCAAGAACAAAATAGGTATGAATATTTGAATAAATCTAATTCACTTGAATGATTTTTAAAAAGGCACAGCGTCCTTGGCAAAGTGACATTATTATAATGAAGGCGTTTATATTAACTAAGACAATGAATAAATACCAATGAATTAAGACAAAACGAAAAAAGAATCTCGTATTTTAGTTAAGTTAATAAAATTTAAAGACATAGGCTTCGACGGCATTTATTTTACATGATTAAGTAGAAAAAAAACAAAATGCTCTATCAAATCAATCTGTGTTAAACAGCAGTGAATCGTCAATATATTAATTACAGAATTGGTATCAATTAACTGTCTAATCTTCTACGCATGTATCTACCCGCGGTAGACCTATAATTTACTAACCGTAAGACAGTGCAAGCTCGTAGACTGTTTATGGTTCATGTTTGCGAGACATTTTTTCAAAGTGAAAGATAATAAAGATTAAAATGTCTTTACTATTTTTTTTTTTTTGAATTTATTTCAATTAATAAATTGATGATCTGTTTTTAACCACGTCTCGGCATGTTTAAAGTTTGATTGATAAATACGACCCTTTATAAAGTAGCTATATCAATACAACAATAAAAATATCGTATAAACACATCTGCGGATGTTTCTAAATTAAAATTTCACAATTTCCCCCCATGATATATGAATTTTGCGTAGGCCGGTGCTAGGGTTCTTGGACGGTACCTTGCTATTTCCAGTAACGTCCATGTACAGGCTCAATCAAATCGAGCCTAGAACGTTTTCAATTTTGCCGTTTTGATCGTTTTTTAGGGATTCTGTTGTTGTTGTTTTTTTTTTCTATTTTAAATCGGGTCGAACAATATATATTGTTGCGAAGACATAGTCGCTGTAAAGTTGACAAGCAATTTTTAAAATATTTACATACTGACCTTGACTCTTGGCATTCAAATTATAAAATGATCTAGTGTCCATAAAGGTTTATACAAATGCTATTCTATCAAAATAAAGAAAACTTAAACATCTAATGGTAAATGAAAATGTGCAGGTTTTATGTAAGACATTTTGGATCTCGGATACCTGATATAGATTAATTGTCCAAAAAGAATGACCTGTGATAGTTCGAAGTAATGATGTAAATTAAAGTGTGCAGTATACCTACACAGTGTGTACAATTCGACATGACATGTTGCTCATATCATTATACAATTTTTGATACTCATTCCTACAGAAGAATCCATTTGTTTAAAAGCACTTTATTTATATTTGTTTAAAAGGTGTCCATTTTGAGATCAAAGATAGCCGGCATAGCAGTCAGTGTGTAAAGCATGTATAATTATCAGCCAATTATTCCTAAAAGTAATTGAAACTTTATTTCATGTAGGTTAACGGACATACGATACGATATGTACCAGAAAAAATATTTTTTTAAGTAGATGATAAAGGTCAATGGCGGCCATTTTGATTTGACCTTTAGAAAGTCAAGGACGTCAAGTACAGCCGTGGTAGAGCAAAAAATGGATTCAGCGTACCCGAATTATGTTAAAACGATTGACTGCCTGCTTGTACTAAAAAATGCCGTTAGACTCTTAACGGAGGGTCTTTTCTGAAAATCAAACCCGTCTATAATTATTTATAAAAACACAATGTGTGCACCATAAAGTCGGTGTCATAAGTATAATTTGTATCATTAATTTTGATTAATGTCAAATTCTAGACTAATCACTCTTTGTAAAACATATAATTTTGCTATGTTTGGTTGCCTAACATGAGCTGCTGAATTTTTTGTCTGCCGTTTGATTTACTGTCACAACTTGTCAGAACTGGAAAACAGATGTACCAGACTTTACTTTTATTTGTATCTCCTTATGCTGTAGCATTATAAACCACTAGCATAAATGCTAAATTTTCTTATTTGATATTGTACTTAATAACCATTTCTCTTAGGAGAATATTGTCATAAATTTTATCCTTTGTGTATCAGTGAATGTCATCAAATCTTAAGTTTCATTATATGGCGTTAGAAATTCTGTGAAACTATGAGTAAGATTGTCGGCGTGACCTTGTGGTTAACAGGTCGGACTAGTTATGTCACGGATGTTCGAAACACCGTCAATGAAACTTTACACTCTGATTAATACGGGTAAGTTCCAAGAAAGGTATTCAAAAGTGTGCTTATAAGCTTATAGCTTACTACATATATCAAACCAAAATATTTTTTGTATAAAATAGGTATGAATATCTTTATTTCACCTTTTCGAACAAATCTGTCATTCTTCATCATGTTATTTCTTTTTCGTAACAAGGCCATATTGCAGAATGAAGAAACTCAATTACCGAATAATTATGTTATTAAGAAGAAAATATAAACAACAACCAATCAAAAGAAAACGGAGGCATTTGGATAACAACGATAACAAGATTTAAATTGTAATTTGTGACTTAATAGATGCCTACATGGACACCAGTTTAGGGATGCTACTTTAAGGCATGTATTATTATAAATGTTTATTTATTTTTGATTATGTTTTACGTCGCACCAACACAGTATAGGTCATATGGCAAATTTCCAGCTTTACCAGTGGTGGAAGACCTCGGATGCTCAAAAGGTCCTAAGTTCCCTGTCAGGATTCTGCAGATATTTGTCAATTGAAAACTTGAAGCCATATCATAGCATTGCATTTTTAATTTTTCTGAAGTATTACGATTTGTTCCAGGACACATAGTTATTTAATAATTTATCACTGACAAAGCTTATACACCACAGTTAAAAAAGAACTCTTTACCATTAGCATTTACTTGAAAATTATTTGTAACAATACCATTCTATTGCTTTCAAATATAATTATACTTAAATCCCGCTTATTAAATAAGTGGTATTGCCATACTGATAAGTATCATGAACATTAAAATTTCATTTTTGACATTATTTTCTTTCCTCATCACATGATAAATAATTGAATGTTTGGAATACAAATGCGTATATTTACCATAAATCTGCTGGTGCCTGTATGTTTAGATAGATAATCGTAACTTAATTAGAAAATTATCAGGAACAGAATAATAGTATACAATGTGTCGCTCAAATGATCAATCATTTCAATTATCAAATAATCTAGAAATGCAAATAAGCATTGTAACAAAAACAATTAAAGGTGTTATAGCTGTAAATAACATGATGCACGCACCTTCTGTGTAATCGTTTTAAATACACAAGCCACTTAGCAGTTGCCGTACGTCAAAGGTATCTATATAGATAAAGAATGAATGTTAATTGAATGTGCCATTTTGATGAGACGTGAAGCTTTAAATGATTTAGATACTATCCCGAAGAATACAGCTTCATGCAAATTACAAGATACATATGCGTCGATAAATATTTTATTAAAAAAGCCTTACAAAAATGTGCGACAAAAAATCTTCCAAATAAGCGCAATTCTTCCAGTCTAGAGTTGCTTAATTGAAACAAATATGTGTTTCAGACTAAAATTAGGGAAACATTTCACGTTATTGTGTGATAATATGCATTTCTACATTTTTTTGTGTTAATTTACAATTTGAGTGCATTTACATCGATGTATTGACGTGTTTCATAGATTAATAAATGAATAAACATGCTTTCATTTTCTATTAGATGTTGGACAGGTTTCGTATCTCGGCAATGACCGGTCACAATACAAACAGTCAAATGATATCATGTATGACATACGAATAAACCGATTTCAGCAAAATGCAATAGTCAAATCTTAAATATTTATGTTATTTAGCACTTTGTATTTGTTTTATGGATCATAAAATATGAAATGCGCTTTTTTTCATGTTTCATCGCGTTTTCAACATCGTACTTTCGCGCTTTCACCATCGTGCCATCGCGTTTTCACCATCATACCATTGCGTTTTCACCATTGTGCCATCACGCTTTAACCATCGTGCCATCGACTTCCTGTGGTCATGCGCAGTGGTACATCTTTATCAACAATCTATGCCTTCTTATTTTTTAACCCGGCACCCTTTCTACTTGCGTCTCTTTGAGATCTTAGTATTTAAAACATAAATAATATTAACATAAGGCAATCGCTCAAAATTTTTAAAAACTCAAGTTGTCAAACTTGTGCACTGTTCGTATATATAAAGTTTCGATTTTGTATCTTAAATACAGCAAAAGAAAAAAAACATATATTAAGCATATGCATGTGTAAGCATATAGTAAATAGTCTTTGATCTATATACAGTATAATGATATAAATGGAATCAGAATCTGACATATTCCTGTATGTGTACTGATTATACTGACCGAATGGCGATGGTACGATGGCGCGATGGCACGATGGTAAAAAAGCGATGGTACGATAGTGCCAACGCGATGGCATGATGGTGAAAACGCGATGGTACGTTGGTGAAAACGCGATGGCACGATGATAAAAATTCGACGGTACGATGGTGAATACGCGATGGCACAATGGTGAAAACACGGTGGCGCGATGGTACGATGTTGAAAACGCGATGGTTCGTTGGTAAAAACGCGATATAACATCGCATTTTCACAATCGTATCATCGCGACATCGTGTTTTCACCATCGTACCATCGTGTTTTCATCATCGAGCCATCCTACTATTGCGTTTACACCATCGTTTCATCGTGCATCGCAGGCAAAGACGAAATAAATCACGATTGTCCAAACGGAACACCGTACCATAAATATAGAATAACTGTAAAGAATGTATGTAATTGTCATTGAATTTGTAATAGTTACAAATTTAACGGCAATTACATAAATTCCTTATTGTTAAGTTATTTTCTTCTTCTGTAATGTTGAAATAGTGCTATGATAAATATTTTTAATTAAAAGTATTAATTAAAATTTGCTTACTTAAAGAATAAAGTGAATAATTCTAAAGATATTCTTTCATCAAAAACTGTTATATATTATATAAAAATGGATTATTACACACATCACATCTGTTTGTTTAATTATTTTACTCAAAAGATGTCATATCCACGCTTTGGGATTGATTTTCACTTTTTCGCAAATTATTGATTATAGGTATAAGCTCTTGGCTATATCCACCATTACTTTCATTCGCTGATTTCAAACAAAATTCGGGAATATGAAACATGTCTTTGAGTACTTTGCGAAATCTGCTTCCAAAAGTAACATAAACTAGCAAATTTATTGTTAACGACAAGTAGGACACAAGTAATGTAATCTGTTGAATCATTTCTTCCCGGGAGGAATACTGTCCTTGTTGTCTTTCAGCCTCTAGTATTGATGAAATCATTATTCTCAGGCGGTTTATATGTGATGGTAAGTTTAGACAGATAAATGTGACTGTCACAGCAAATAACATTTTTGTAACTTTTGCCATAGGATTTTTAATTCGTTTTGCAGTTGGGGCACGTAGCCGACTTCTTCTATTGTACGATTTAAGGAGACTGCACACAATGGCAATCATTACTAAAGTTATACATATTATAGGCACTACTAATGTTAAAAACGTATCTGCATATACAAATACTTGCACCGTATTATGAAAACGCCCGTAAAGCACACACGTGTCTGGACTCATTGTCCAGAAAGGAAAATTATAGATGCATAATGTCACAAACCAAAGAATCCCGACAACAACTTTAGCTATTTTTGTCGTACAAACTCTGTTGACGATAAAGGGTCTGCATATTCGAATGTAGTTTTCTACAGTGACAAAAACAACAAGCCAAACTGATGTACATCCACATACATACGTAAGAAAAATTATAATCTGGCATGAGTTCTGGACCTCGCCTAACCGCAACTGAAAAGTGCGGGAAATCCAAATTATTAGAAGCGTTGAAAGAAAACCATTATCAGAGAAGCCTCTCGCGCACAGAAATATGCTACACGAACTATTCCGAATTGGTTTACGTAAAAACACTATCGAGGAAAGAGTGTTCCCAATCAGTCCTAGCAAACATATTATAGGTATCACGTATTTTTCTATATACACAGTGATAACATTATGAGGTGATCCAATTATTTGCTGTGTTATGTTTAATTTCTTTGGGTCTACCGTTACAAATTCAAAGGCGGTCTTCGTGTTGATACTGAAGTTGAGATCAAAGACTATACTTTCATTGATGTTCATCCTGAAAAAAAGTAAATAAATAAAATGAAACGAAGAAGAAAAGAAAAAGGACACTAATTTACAAATATTTTATTTTTACATATGCTATTACAAAGGACCTGACATTTTTGTTAAGTTTTATGCAAACAGTTAAAGAGGTATTCCTGTGCCTGAATGCTAAAGTCGTTTTTTTGTATTTATTAATATGTACATCCGCAGCATTTGAACTTGTATATATTTGGTTACAAAAAAAACCCTGGCTAAGCATAAATTTGATAATCGAAATTCGTTCGCTAAAACTAGTGCAAAAATATCATTCAATTTGAACACATTATATCTATACCATTTAAATAAATACAACACATAAATAATTCTAATTACTAATACTTATTATAAGTAATCTTACAGAAAGGGGCATTGTCATTAGTTAGAATATATAAGAGTGGGTAATTTTACTGTGTCCAATTCGGCATCGAAGAAGAACTGTTTGATTATGGCGGTTTGACAGAGATAGAGATGGTGACACATCAAGAGATGGGTTTATATCGTAAAGTTTATTAAAAACGGCATTGTCCCAATTTGCTTTCCATTCAGATGATACGAGTTTATTTATAGCTGGTCTAAAATCACAAGCAGGTAACAATAAGTCAGTTTTTTGAAAATTTAATGATTGTTTAGCTAAAGCATCTACTTTTTCATTTCCTCGTATATGTACATGACTTGGAATCCAATATAATTTAACATATTTTGTTTTAAGTATATAATGAAATCGTAAAAGAAGTTTCTTTATCATGGTATTGTCAGATTTTTTATTTTTAATGGATATTAAAACAGAAAGCGAGTCAGAAAATATCACAAATTTATCATGGGTATGCTGTACTATGTATGACAATGCTAAATCTATAGCTTTTGCTTCAGCAGTAAAAACTGATGCATTATCTGGTAACCTCATACTAGATGTAAAATTATTTTCAAACACAGCCGCACCTACTTTGCAACATTCTTTTGAACCGTCCGTATAAATATGTATCCATTCTATAGTTTTAATTTTTTATTATAACAGTGTTAAACAAATCGAAGTATTTTTACATCATAATTAACAGGAAACAAAATTTTATATTTAATAGAGAGAAAAATTAAATTATTATTTTTATTTTTTATGTTTAATAAATCAAATCTCTTTAGAATTAAGCTTATTGCACTTAACAGTTAATTCAAGGCACGATATTGTTAGTTATAATTGTAAAATATATATATATCTAAAAATATTGAAGGAAATATTATTTAAATAAATCTGAAACACGGACAGGAATATCAATTTAAATTAAAAAAATATGAAATAATTTATTCAATCTGACTCTTTGAGTCGTTAAACTTCCCACATTCATACGCTCATTTTTTTAAAAACTGAAAACATCGTAACTTTGGCTTTTGGTCAAATAAGTATTTCAAATATGAGACTACATTATCATGTGTGTAATGCATAGATTTGCAAAATGTTCCTTTAAACAGTAGCTGTTGAGACTTGTGAAATGCAAATTCTTTATCCCGAATGCAAACACCATATGAAATAAGTGGCAAAATGTTTATGCATAGTATACTTTTTAATAATTTTTGATCCAAAAAATAAAAACAGTAATAAGTGCTTTAATATTTTTCTATATACTTAAATTGTAATATTCCTTATGCTTCTATTTGATAGCTTAAAATGTTGTTAATATCAACAGTACGCGTTTCATTAATCCTTACTAACAATTATAACTGAAGATATCAATTCAGATAAAAAAGGGGGAAAATTAATCACCTTGTGAACTGAATTATCCATTGATTTGTTGTATGTCCATTATTGTTCAATTACATCTGTACAATGCACTGGTAATCGTTGAAATGAATGAAGAACTCGTATATGGACTGTTCTGCTTTATGAATTAGTCCTGGAAAACCAATATTTCATATATCTGCATGGATATCCAAAGCCCTAGCATTGTTCCTCTGAATTAAAAATACAATATCGGTATATTTTCAAGCAATTCTTAACATTTAAACCTCTATAATACCAGGCCATATGTTTACGCTTCGTATAAAGACAAAAAGAGCCAACAATAATAACTTATTAAAATTAATGTTATTAATCATTACGCTCTGACTAGCAAATTATGATTTGATTTGATTTTTAGTATTCTCTGTAAAATGTTCTCAAATAAAAACTAAGAGGAAATGACTAGTACAAACCATTGTTTATCTGTTTGCAATGACACACATGGAGTGTTAATTATGATGGTTATGGTATTTTGTTTGTCACAAAAGGAGGAAACACATGTCAAAGTACGCACCTCGGGACTTAACGGACGGATAACAAATTGACAAAAGACTTTTATACTTCATAACAGCAGGTGTCGAGTGCTGTGTGGCAGCTGTAAAAAGTTGCCGCGTACTTCACTTCAGTGTTGTTATATTTTTCTGGTCCTTCGGGATTATTGATAACAGCACTATTTAGTGTTGTTGAGAATTGGGTACCGCTCAAACCGGTGCGAGGGGGCGTCAGGGATGTTGCGCTTATTCATTATCCCTCATTTACAGACTCAATCAAACCGAGTCTGCAATTTTCATTTAATTTTGTTGTGATTAATGCTTCCGAGGGATCACTTTGTTTCCTTTTTTCCCGCATTTTCCTCAGATAGATTGGACGGAGCCCTCGATTGAGGGTACAGTCCGTAACATTTTCAGAATGAAACTGTTAACGTAAATGTGCATAACACGTCTAGTATTTGTATATTGTTGACGTTACGTCAACCGAAATCTTCCTGGCCGCGGATTGCCGAAATTGTTTCCACTTTGCCGATAAGGTCCCTATAATGACGAATTAACTAACCAATTCAACGAAATGTCTGCGCCTTAAAATGTGTCATAGAACGGCAGTTTATACATGAATCGAAATACATTCATAAATAAATATATATTCATTTACAAAACGTTTACACATGATAAGTGATTATATGAACTTCGTCTATATTTTCCATACAATCATAGTATTGTGGTGTCAAAAAATGAAAGGCAAATGATAAGAGGATATTTATTGAATTGTGGCTGGAAAGAAAATTGAGTACATCATTATATGATTAATTTTTCACCGTCAAGAAGACAGTTTCATTTCCTTTATGTTATAGTTATTAGAAAATGTAATACCCTAGTGACTATTATTCTAATGTGAGAAAACGTTATTTCCTTATCAAAATGTCTGTAATTCTGATAGCTAGAACTACAAATCATTATCTGTGAAATTTGTTTGATTCCAACATTTTATGATATATTATATTCTATAATATACTATTATATTTGATGTCCATTAAATTTACCAATTGCATAATAATAATAATAATAATAATAATAAAAACAGAACTACTACTGAAAATAATAATAATAAAATTGTCAAGAAAGTCTGGCTAGAAACACATCATTTGGAAATGGCGTCTTAGGAAAGGTTCATTCAATGTTTAGCATACATAAGGATATACAAAAGAACAACTTACTGTTCACAATAAAGCCTTGCTTTTTAATATCATTTTGTAAGAAGTGTAAAGGTTATTTATTTACTACCCATTATAATGATTGCATTTTATATTTATGTCTTACAAAACAAAATTTCATTAGCCTTGTCACATATTGGATATTCAGTTAAAGTATCCTGCCACAATGATAAATCTTGTAGTAATGATGTATGCTTAACAGTTATCTGCACGAGAAGCCTTTTTATATTTTAACTGAGACACAATAATTACTCGAACAATACATTTAAACACATTTTTATTTTACATACATATGTACATTGATAATATGTTGTTCACACGAATCTTACATTAAATCACACGTATATAAAATATTTAAAATTGAGATCCATCATCATTTGTCAAAACAAAAAATATCACCCGAAAAGAGGAAATTACACCGACCTATGCAAACGAATGCCGGGTCGAAACAATGTGAACATTAAAACTTAACACTTTTAAGATCTCCAATACCTCTTAGTACAATCATTAAACAGTATTGATAATTACACTCATTATAAAGTACTTATCTTAATTCCTGAAAGTGTCACAAGTACTTAGTATTCCTGAAAGTGATACCCACTAGATACCCCCGACACGTACTTGTCAGAAAACGTGTTTTTAGTTCTGCAAATAGGGAGAATGCATTAGCACGGGGGAGGAAGTGTTACACGAAGGATGGAGTTCTTATGATAACTTGTTTGGAGTTCTTATGATAACGGTCACGGAGTTCCTGGAAAACGTTACGGATTTCTGTGGAAAACTTTTCTATATACTTGGAGAACTCGCCTAAAAAATGGTTATTTTTTACTTTAAATGGGGAGTTTGAGTTGCTAAATTAAACTTTGATAATTAAGCTTGCCCTAAATATTGTATTTTGTTTCAGAAAAAATCTTTTAGTCCATATTTTGTCGCCTTTTTAAAAAAATCTGCAAGTTTTGAGAAAAATTACCAAATTACTTGCTAATTCGTACATATTGACCTTTTCATTTGTGATCTTCTTCGTTGCTCTACTTAATTACCTAATTATTATGGAGAGTTGCAAACATAAAGCCCGGGCTAATAAATGTATACCCGATTTTTCAAGTGTTACGGAGTTCTTGTGATAACTCAAAATATGTCCTGGAGTTCTTATGATAACTTTTGTTACTGCCAGTGTGTTTCTTGTGCTTAATTACGGCGCGTTTAAGCGTATTTTATTAGTCAGTAAGTGTGTAAATCATTATGAAGCATAGTATGCTTATCATTTGCACAAAAATTTGGTTATATAACGTTGGTTTTGATCGTGTTTTAGTTCCTAATTAAATTTGTGCGAAATCATATTGACATTATAAAACCCAACGAATGCACTAAATGTTTCTGTGTATACTGTTCGTCAACAAAGGTTTCATGTCATAAGTTTCCGCAAAATGCAACACTGAGGCCATGTGGCAAAATTAAAACACGATCATTCAATATATCTGGAGAAGACATGAAACTGCTTTAGTGTACAGTCTACATAGGATAAACAGGTGCTAAGCTATCTTCAGGACCGCGTCCGTGGTCGAGGGGTTTGAGTCAGGACTTCTAATCCAGTTACCTCTCTTGCGTGGGTTCGATCCCCGGGAGATGCTTTGGTAGTTTAGCACGGAGGAAGGTAGTCTAGTACTGGTGTAACTCTCCAGGAACGATGGTTAGGAAACTACCCGCCCATATGACTGAAATACTGTTGGGAAAAGGCGTAAAATGAAACAAACAAACAAAAATCAGGTTTTCAGGAAAACCTGAATCAGCGGTCACCTGTATTCAGCAGTAACATGGCTTAAACCGCCAAGGAAAAATTGTTTAAATTTTTTTTCTCAGTTACATGTTTTAAGCAACCGTCTTTCTAAAGCAGACAATAAGTAGTTCATGGTGCATATCCATATCGGTACCCTCTTTGCGAAATCTGCTCAAACGGTACCCTCTTTGAACATGCACAGGTCATTCTCTGCTAAAAACAAACCAGCGATGGATAACAATCCAGTAAAATTTCATTGTAATAAGGAAAGGAGGTATGACACGTAGAAAAGATATATACCACGGAACACTAGAATGTTTTATTTATGTGCTGATTTGTCATGTGCCCGATTTTCATGTACTGCAACTTCACAATAAGCTACAAAAAATCGACATGTCTTGCCTCGCCCATCACATCGACATATTTTTCGGGCTGAAATTTCGCAAAGAGGGTACCGATATGAATATGCACCGTGTAGATGGGCTTCCCTCAAGAAGCGGCTAAGTAAATTGTATCATTATATACCATGTATCGTATATAACCGGGATATCCTTCACACCCATGCACCCGAAATGTATGATCTTTTAATGCATAAAAATCAACCGATTACTACCGATCTCTTCGACAGATTTGCACGGGTTCGAGCGGCGAAAGAAGTTCGACAATATACTTTTGTTTTCAATTACAGCAAAAGTTGTTGCAAAATTTCCACTAGGACTCAAACTTTGATAAGAAAAATGTATGCAGTATTTTTCCGAAATATGGAAATTGCTGTACGTCACGTGATGCTACATTGGATTTAATAGAGAAAGGGTCAATAAACGGCATGAACCTTACGATGACTCACATATCTTATCGAAGACTTACTTTCTATCGTCATATCATTGTCATAGAACTTTATACGTTTCTATGACAAAAACTGATACCTTTTGTAAATTGATATACCCGTTGAAACATAAAGATGACACCCACCTCATTAAATTTAGATAGAGGTAGTGCATACTACCTCCTATTTTGCTGAAAACCATTTACATGCGTACCGATAGCATAGTTACTTAACCTTTTCCCTTATATAAGCGTGTTTCGACGGCTTTTTGCCCCCCCCCCCAATTTTGAGGCCTCGAAAAAGTGCCCTATTTAGGCCCCAAACACTGTTTTCCGTTTGAGAAATGTTGTTAAAAAAAGTGACCACTTTTTCAGCGCCGTCCCCCATCCAAATATTACATCAGGGGGTTGTCAGAAGGGGGATGTGCCCCCTTCTGTTTTGGGGGTTTGAAGGGTGTGGGAGTCCCCCTCATCGCCAAGAAAATTTTGGACATGTGACAGGCTAAAAATGGCCTCAGGTCGATCTTAGGGTAACTAGTAACCGACGCTGAAAAGTCTTTTATTCTATCTCAATTCATTGAGAAGTTGCAGCACTTTGAAATCAGTTTTGATGGAAAAAAACAATGCAAAATAGTGATTTTTGGCAATTTTGAGACGTCCCCCCATTGTCATGGTAACAGGAAAACTACCATTGAGCATGCTGTTACAGAGGCTATGGTGTAGTCAACATTTGTGCCAAGTTTCATTAGTATTGAAACATTTTTCATAGTTTCATAGCAGTTTGAACT